TGGAGGAAGCACGCTCCCCTGAGGCAGGCCGTTCTTCTGTTTCCGCCATCTGCTTCTCTGTCCCTGGAACTCAACAAAAAAGCTCCTGTTTTGTAGCAGGTTTCCTATGAGGCTGGTGAGGTGGTCGTCCTTTGTGATATTATACATTTTTCTCAGGAGGAGGCAGTGGTGGTTCACAGTCTCATAGGCTGCTGACAGGTCTATGAAGACAGCTCCTGTGATCTGGGGTGTTTTCTCTATATTCTAGTAGCTGAGGAACATGAGCATTTCCTTGCATCCAACATTGTCCAACCTCATTGTAACGTTTGAATGGTCATAATGAGGGGAACAAGCAGATTCTCGTTAAGCACGAGCCCAGGAAGTACAAGAGCCTTTGGCTGCTTCCCAAGGAAACTTGGCTGCTTTCGAGATGAGTTGCTGACAGAGCTGGTCCAGTGTTGGTGGGTGAGCTGGCAGTGGGGCCTAGGAGTAGTGGCAGCGCTGGCGCTGTGGGCGGCCATTGGCAGCACCGAGACCCAGGGCTTCCTGAAGTCCTCCACTCGCTGTGCGAGTTGAACATTGGTGGCCTGGGCATCTCCCCCTTTGCAATGGGCATGCGCCCGAGAGATGAGTTGCTGGGGAGAGTGCCAGTGTGTGGACTTTGCACATCCTCCAGCTTTTTGTGGACATGGATTCTCTGGGTGCTCCCACTTCTTGGTAGTTTCTGCAACGTCTCTGCTTTACTTCTTCAGACCTTCTACGTGTTCTTTCGATGCTAGTCTGTGCCATGAGGCAGGCATAGCTTAAAGGGAGTAAGTTCAGATGAACGTAATTTGATGTGGCGTTTGGTTTACTGTATAAGTCTAGTTTTTCAGCCCCTTTTTTAGGCTGAAAAATCTCCCCTCGGCTTATACTCGAGTCAATGTTATTTACTATTTTACTCTGTTATTAGTATTATTTTTATTGCATTTATTATTTTACTCTATTTATTATTATTATTACATTTATTATTTTACTCTTTATTGTTATTTATTCTTTTACTCTATTTATTATTGTTTTTATTACATTTATTATTTTACTCTTTATTGTTATTACATTTATTATTTTACTCTATTTATTATTATTATTACATTTATTATTTTACTCTTTTATTACTGTTATTCATTTCCATTATTTTGCTCTATTATTATTTTTATTACATGTATAATTTTACTCTATTATTATTATAACATTTATTATTTTACTCTCTTATTACTGTTATTACATTTCCATTATTTTCTCTATTATTATTATTACTGTTATTACATTTATTATTTTACTCTCTTATTACTGTTATTACATTTCCATTATTTTCTCTTATTATTATTATTATTATTATTATTATTATTACATTTATTAGTTTACTCTCTTATTACTGTTATTACATTTATTATTTTACTCTCTTATTACTGTTATTACATTTCCATTATTTTACTCTATTATTATTTTATTACATTTATTATTTTACTCTTATTATGTTATTACATTTATTATTTACTCTCTTATTACTGTTATTACATTTCATTATTTTACTCTATTATTATTATTATTATTATTATTATTATTATTACATTTATTAGTTTACTCTCTTATTACTGTTATTACATTTATTATTTTACTCTCTTATTACTGTTATTACATTTCCATTATTTTACTCTATTATTATTATTATTATTATTATTATTACATTTATTAGTTTACTCTCTTATTACTGTTATTACATTTATTATTTTACTCTCTTATTACTGTTATTACATTTCCATTATTTTACTCTATTATTATTATTATTATTATTATTATTATTATTATTACATTTATTATTTTACTCTCTTATTACTGTTATTACATTTCCATTTTTATTACATTTATTATTTTACTCCCTTTATTATTATTGGAAGGATATGTAAGCACATTTATATTGAAGAAGGTTAGAATAATGGTTTAATCAGAGTTGGACAGCTTTATCTTAAATTTTTGAATATTTACTCTACTGATGCCTCAATTAATGTAATTTTATTGGTATCTATTTTTATTTTGAAATTTACCTGTAGTGGTTGCATTTCCCACCCTCAGCTTATACTCGAGTCAATATGTTTTCCCATTTTTTTGTGGTAAAATTGGGTCGGCTTATACTTATATACGGTAATTAGAAAATGATCGTGTGATATAGTGTAATTGAATGGTATGTAAGAAGGCCTTATACCTGAACTTGGTGATTGTGTTGTCTTTCTGGTTCATCTGGCCAGGAACAATGGTCAGGAGAAAATTGCTTTGTGGTTTTATCAGAGAACGAATCAACAAACAACATAACTGATGTGTAAATTGTGGAGCATGCCTAAAAATATTTGTAACAGAAGTGACGTGAATGGTGTTATTGGGGATAGCACTGGAATATCTGACTAGGTTTTGGCTAAGAGTGCTTACAGGGGATGCTGCCATAATATTTTATCAATGGGAAGCTATATGGAGGGACGAAAGGAAGGATCAGTTTCTGTTCTCCCTGCCTATTATTTGACAGAAGGTAGTGGTGGGGACGAGAGATAGGGCCTTCTTGGCAGTGGCCCCCCCAGGGGGTGTCTGTGGAACTCTCTCGCGAAGGACATCAGGTTGGCCTCCTCCCTCCTGTCCTTTAGAAGACAATCGAAGACTTGGCTTTGGGACCAGGCGTTCGATTAGTAGACAACGGCAATTGGAAAGAACCTTTGGATTTACCCTGATTTGGATTTGGTCTTAATTGGCCAGTTTAATGAGTTGTATAATGTGTTTTTAGTTGTTTTTAATGTTTTAAATGTAATTTTTGATCGTTTATATCGGGGTCCACAAACGTTTTAAACAGAGGACCAGATCACAGTCCCGCAAACAATTGGCGGGCCGGATTATAATTTGAAAAAAAACATGAATGAATTCCTATGCACGCTGCGCATATCTTATTTGTAGTGCAAAACACATTTAAAAATAATACAATAATTAAAATTAAAAACAATTTTAACAAATATAAATTTAATAGTATTTCACGGGGAAGTGTGGGCCTGCTTTTGGGTGATGAGATAGGATTGTTGTTGTTGTTTACTTTCAAGTCATTTCAGACTTAGGTTGACCCTGAGCGGGGGCCGGGTAAATGACCTTGGAGGGCCGTATCCGGCCCCCGGACCATAGTTTGAGGACCCCTGGTTTATATGTTGATAGCATCATACGATGCTTGTGTGAGTCCTCCCTGAATCCCCCTTAGTGGGGGGAAGGGTGGGGTAGAAATGTGACACAGGATCCTTGTATTTTACTTGTGGATATTTCCAGGTGTTTCTGGGAAATGGGCCCCTAGATTGTGGCTGTTGCAACCCAGAGCAGGGAACGAGAACCATTAGATAACAAACCACCACACTAGACTGTGGGAAAAACAATCCCTTTTTATTGATGAAAAATGGTTACAAAATAGAAGAAAATGCAAAGTCAAAAAGCCACAGTAAAATTCAGCAGTCAAGAATATCCATGAACTTGATCAAAATTCCAAAAGCCACACTGTAAAAACCTGGAAACTGTCAGCAACCCACTAACCGTCCTTGGAGTACTAGAAGCCTCTTGGGATGTAGGCCACGAGAAACGGGAAATCTGCCAAGGTAATGCCTCAGTCTAAACGATGCCTGATCTAACGAGACAACCCGGCGAGAGGCACTTAAAACTGAAGAAACTGTTTCGTGACACGCCTCCAGGCTTTGAAGCCTGTGTTTCCCTTTGCCTTAATCTGCTTGACCTTCGCAGACTCTGCGATTCACTCCTGTTTTTCCAAATCTGTCTTTTTCTATCCTCATTAAGGAAGCGAGGTGCTAAATCCTCTGGAGAGCTTATCACTGCCTGGCTCTGCAACATTCTCATCAGAATGTGTAGTTTCACTTTCCAAGCCACTGACCTCAGTATCAACACTTTCATTACCATCAGGGAAAAATACATGGTCAGTAACATCAGGACATACAATCAGAGGATCTCAGGTTCAGCAATCAGAGAATCAGGTTCAGGTTCAGCAATCAGAGAATCAGGTTCAGGTTCACCAATCAGAGAATCAGGTTCAGGTTCACACGCAGGCTGAACCCCAACAGTGGCAAAGCAGCTCAGGTATCTAGACAACGGAACCAACCGAGGCAGGTGCAGCTGATGGATTCAGACCCAACTGACTCCTCCAGACAACTTGGAAATTAATATTTTAGTTCAGTGGTTCTCAACCTGGGGGTTGGGACCACCAAGGGGGTCGTTTGGCCATTTCGGAGGGGTTGCGACGCCACCTCCTTTGGCCCCGCCCCCAAGGCTTTGCACAAGGCCAGGCCCCGCGCAAAGCCACCCTTGCCTGCCTCGCACTCTCAAAAATAATTTTATGGTTGGGGGTCACCACAACATAAGGAACCATATTTAGGGGTCATGGTGTTAGAAAAGTTGAGAACCACTGTTTTAGTTCGAAGCCAGCCTGGGTTGGAGTGGGTTTCCAACCAGTTGTGTGTAGCCTGTTGTCGACCTTTGCAACCTGAAAGACAGTTGCATCTGTCAAATAGGAAAATTAGGTACCACCTTAAAGTGTGGGGAGGCTAAATTAACTGATTTATGAGGCCATAAAGAAGACTCCAACAAAGCATTCCAGCGGGGAAGCATGTGGGGAATGCGGAAGTGCTTCATCAGCGTCGCAGATGAACGATGAAAGCGACAGCTCCCCTGGTGGCCAGAAAAAGTTAAATAGCCTCTGTGTAGGTCTGTCTATGTTTGTATGTCAAAAATTGGCATTGAATGTTTGCCATATATGTGTACACTGTAATCCGCCCTGAGTCCCCTGCGGGGTGAGGAGAAGGGAGGAATATAAAAGCTGTAAATAAATAAAATAAATATAAAATAGTTTATGTTTTCTATGACATTATCATACAAAACCAGTCCCAGCACTGGTTGGGGTGGACTCTGCCAAAACTAATGCTCTCTGTCTTCCCTTCCTCTCTCATTGTACGCAGATTGTGAATCGGCACGGTCCCGAGGCAGACAGGCATTTACTACGCTGTCTATTCTCTCATGTGGATTTTAGTGGCGATGGTAAAAGTAGCGGCAAAGATTTCCACCAGGTAAATTCCACACTTGGGAAAAAAAAATCTCGATTTGTTTGTTTGTGTATTTATTTATTATTATATCCTTATTGGTGGTGGTTCTTTTCATATTGGGGCTTCACTAACAAAATCCATGGTGAGGACTCCTCCAGGAAAATCATGGCTGCTGGAGCATTGGTGCAGTGTTTTCACTGTGACAAAAGTCCAGGAATCAATATTATTTTGTGAGATCTTGTATAATAGGGCAGCCCACTAAGTTGAAAATTAAAATAAGTGCTCGCTATTAGACGTACGCACGAACTGCTGTAACTATTGTCGTTGCGTAAACAGTCAGCAAAGAGTTGGGTTACCCATGAGCTTGTTTTGAAGGCAGAATGCCACCTTTAAAGCTGTGTATTTGAGCCTTGTTTTTCAGAAAGTCCTGATAAACAAGGTTGTTAACTAAATACCATAACACTTGTCTAAAGGGCATAGTAATTATTTGACTTGCTTATATATCTTTAGCAAATGTTCTGTTGATTGAGTATTGTGTTCATAGCAGTGTTTGTGATGCAGGCTAAGATATGCCTGATCTAGACATCCGTCTGAATGTAAAACTGTCCTGTTTGGTGTCCAGCATCATGTTAAGATATTTGTGAAGCAAAATATAGTTTGCAGTAGTTTGTGAAAATATAGTTGGAAGTAGTCTGTGCAAAATGTAGTTTGAAGTGGGTTGTTGTAGGTTTTTTGGGGGGCTATATGGCCATGTTCTAGTTTATCTAGTTAACCTGGGGACCCCAGGTTGAGAACCACTGTTCTAGAACCTTGCCCTCCTGACATTTCGCCTGCATCTATGGCAAGCATCCTCAGAGGTAGTGAGGATGCTTGCCATAGATGCAGGTGAAATGTCAGGAGAGAATGCCTCTAGAACAGTGGTTCTCAACTTGGGGTCCCCAGATGTTTTTGGCCTACAACTCCCAGAAATCCCAGCCAGTTGACCAGCTGTTAGGATTTCTGGGAGTTGGAGGCCAAAAACATCTGGGGACCCCAAGTTAAGAACCACTGCTCTAGAACATGGCCATATAGCCCGAAAAAACCTACAACAACCCAGTGATTCCGGCCATGAAGGCCTTCGACAATAGTTTGAAGTAGTTTGTGAAAATATAGTTTGAAGCAGTTTGTGAAAATATAGTTTGAAGTATTTTGTGAAAATATAGTTTGACGCAGTCTGCAAAATATAGTTGGAAGTTGTCTTTGAAAAATAGTTTGAAGTAGTTTGTAAAAATATAGTTGGAAGTAGTCTGTGTAAAATGTAGTTTGAAGTAGTTTGTGCAAAATATAGTTGGAAGTAGTCTGTGCAAAATGTAGTTTGAAGTAGTTTGTGAAAATATAGTTGGAAGTAGTCTGCAAAATATAGTTGGAAATAGTTTGTGCAAAGTATAGTTGGAAGTGCTTTGTGAAAATATAGTTTGCAGTAGTTTATGAAAATTTAGTTTGAAGTAGTTTATGAAAATATAGTTGGAATTAGTTTGTGAAAATATAGTTGGAAGTAGTTTGTGAAAATATAGTTGGAAGTAGTTTGTGAAAATATAGTTGGAAGTAGTTTATGAAAATATAGTTGGAAGTAGTTTGTGAAAATATAGTTTGAAGTACCGTATTTTCTGGCGTATAAGACTACTTTTTAACCCAAGAAAATCTTCTCAAAAGTCAGGGGTCGTCTTATACACCGGGCGTAGACTTATATCCTGGGACTAGTCTTATACATCAGGGGTAGTCTTACACGACAGGAGTAGTCTTATAGAGCGGGTGCTGAAACTTCCAATCCAGATTGGAGAATCTGTGGGTACCACATATGGTGGGGGGAGCTCAGGAAGGGGCCTGAGGCCACGAATTGTGGGAGTTGAAGTCCAAAACACCTGGAGGGAGGCCCAAGTTTGCCCATCCCTGCCTTAAGGACGATGGTCTTGTTACAACAGCCTCCTCTTTTCCCCCCAGACCCAGTTTCTGATCCAGGAGTGTGCGTCATTGATTACGAAGCCAAACTTTATTTCGACACTGTCCTATGCGATTGAAAATCCATTGCACTATCAGAAGGTGGGTATGAACCTGGCTACAGAGCGACTTTTGCGAATGCATTAAAGCCGAACCTGAGTATGTTGTGAATGGAGAGCTTGGCCGTAGTAGCGAGGAGGGAGCAAATGCGGTTATCTTGGCAGCGCCGGGAAACGCGGCCCACGGGTGCTTCTCTCCTTGGCAGAGCGTTGTGTTGCTCGCCCCACAGAGCCTTTTGGTGACCATTCCAAGTGTAACTGTTCCATTTCTTCTCCTTTCAGAGTCTTAAGCCTTCACCCCATCTTTTTACCCAGCTGAGCAAAGTTATCAAATTAAGCAAGGTTCAAGAGGTGGGTGAGCTCGTTCTGTTTTGAAATGT